CAGTTTCAAGCATTTCTCCATCTATCAAGATTTTGCCTATTTGTCCTGTTGTGAGGATTTTTGTTTTCTTGATGTTGAGACGCAGTCTTTGATCTTCTGTAGCAAGTTTCATGCTCTCTTCACTTTCAGCAAGGAAGGTTGTGTCACCTGCATAAATTTGTTCCCATTCCCAAAAAAGGTGATACACAGGATGTGGAAATTATATTGTTAATTGCACATGCATGTCTTGAAAGTAAAAAATGGCTAGAACAGGACATCCACAGAACTGCCAGTGATTCTTAAGAGGTCCCCTGAATGTTGGGACTGACTATGCTAAATAAAATTTGTTGCATAAAAAAAAAAAAAAAAAAGAGGTCCCGACACCAGGGATACCATTATTGTCAGATGGATCTTGGCTGGAAGCAGGGGGCACCAGAAGGATGTCTACTTGTTTTCTTGACTATGCAAAGGCATTTGATGGTGTGGATCATAACAAACTGTGGATAACACTTAAAAGAATGGGGCTGCCAGAACACTTAACTGTGCTCATGCAAAACCTTTATATATCTTTTGTGTACCAGAGTTGGAACCAAGCCATAACTGATCCTCTGGTGTGTTTCCAGAGGCAGTTAATTGCATGGGAGATTGTCCATCATTCCCTAGCAGATGGATTTGAACCTCATGCCTCTGGGATTGCACCACAGCTGCCTAACCAGTGTGTAATGTGCCAGGCTAACATAAGATAGATGGGTGGTCTCCTCCGATAAAGATTTACTGCCTTGGAAACCTGATGGAAGACTGTTATGAGACTTGGTGGCAGTGTATTTCAATACCTATATAATGAGAGTTACAGTATCATCATGGGATGGGTGAAAGAACACAAAAGAGATGATGTGGGGAGTGCAGATGCTTAGCAGACTAGAGCACTCAGTACATGTACTGTGAGTCTTCTTTAGGTTAACATTCAAGGATAAGTGCCCTATTTCCTTTAAGAGAAGCAGTACTGTGTCCTTTGCTGGAGGACAGATGATATATATTATTAACTGTTCCATGGAGAACACACCGGTCATATTAATTCCTAGACTCGGGGACCCTCTATCCTCCTTACCCTCTGATAACTTGCATAGTCACCAGAGCCGTTTCCAGTGCTCTTCCCCATCCCTGGTGTTCTGCTCTTGAGGATTCCCTTCTGAAACAAATAAAACCAAAATGGTTTTCTGTGGAGGGCCTCGTGATCCAGGAAACCTGAAGCAGATGATGTACTGAGAAAGGCAATTGTTTCCAGGGTTACTCCTCTTCTCTCCTGCTCCAAGAGGAGGTAGGAGGCCCAAACCTAGCTGCAAGTGAATTTGTATCAGGTAAGAAGTTTTAAGGAAAAATAAAAAATTTCAAGGATGTCACCTCAAACAAATTAGAAACTCTGGGGTGGCATCTACATACAAAAAAACCTTCTAAAATTCTCTCAGAGACTTTAAAGGGAATCCTTGAGGTTGAAAAGCACTAATTTAACATCTCCACTTGCAGCAATATTGGTTAAAAACAAGGTCAGTGTATATACAAACAGGACAGCTTGAGCCGTAAAGAACATCAGCACATACAAGTGATCTCCTGAGGTTTCACACACCCAGATATTGACACTCTTTATGCCATTTGACTTGCCAAATGCATTCCGTACAACAGAACATGGTGACAACAATTCAAGTCTTTTAAAAGTTACAAAGGGATCCCTTGTGCACATGTGTATAGAAACTGGCTTTCTGATTCTACAAAACACGATAAATTCTACTTAAGCAGAGGCTAACTTTAGTTTCTTTCCTGAATTATTTATTTCTTAAACAATGAATGGTGACATCAAGTAGACAGCAGCAATGGTGCTGGTGGATTGGTCACAAGAGATGTCTGACAACTTTTAAAATGATCACTACAGCTGCTGCAGTGTATTCTACAAATGAAATGGTCATCGAAGAGCAATCATCCCTCATCATACCACGAAGTAAATTTATTATTCCTCTAATTCCCAAATAACTCATTGTACCCTCCTCAGTAATTGGTGTCTGCATACCAGATGAGCAAAGCATGCCAAGTCAGGCTGTTTGTGTACACACTTTGGGAGCATTAGGAGACACTGAGGCTGAGGTCAAATGCCTTTTAATAGGCACAAATGTGAGCAAATCTGACTGCATTTCCTTAAGTTATTGCTTTTATAAAACATTTTCAACTTCCATACCTACCAGCATTATCTCCAACCTGAACATTTAGACCCTGCCCCTTCACTGCTACCTATGGGAGCTTCTTTCACGGGTCACTATTCATTCTTCCCTCCTATCTCACCTCTCCTCCAATCACAACATAATGGAAAGCATTTACTTCTGTTAGATCAAACTTTAATATGCTATGGAACATGGTGGCTTGCCACGAGTACACCAAAGAGGGTAAGAAAAGACAAGACAGTTGTGTGGAGAATAAACTCCCTTTCTACATCTGAATAAAACAAATTCTCCACCCAGTGATTTTGGCATGAAAAAATGGTAGGCTAAATGAATTATCTGCTTTTTACTTTATCCTCTGACTCACTAATTACCTTAAACTCTGACTCAATAGTATATTTAATTCATGTCAGCTTTAATTTTGTCATTTTCTTTTAAAACTCAAGTTTTAACAAAGACAACAGGGCTATTATTTGCCAGATCTCAGCTCTGAATTCACAACATAAAGAGAGTCAAAGCTATAATAAAAAACTGTCATTCTGTACAACTAATTGCAGAAAATAATTTAGTACATTCTGTTATAAAATTCATTTACAGATTATTGACATGTAGTTATCAGGATTTGCTTGTGGTAACATAAGTAAACATTAACTAAACAAATTACATACAGTACACCCAAGAAAAAAAATAACATACAAAAACTTAAAATGTTTTTTAGGTAGGATAACACCTACACTGAAATAACTAATATTGAAATTAAGACAGGGCACTTTCTTTTAAGCCATGGCAGGGACGAAGCAAACAGCCAAATCTTTCACCCTGAAATAATCAAATAATATTGCTATGATAGCTGCATCAAGAAAGGCCATTGCATAAATATGATAAACTTTTTGTAAATACTTTTACCAAATGAAACAAAAAAGTTTCAAATTTTAATGCCAGGTACAACTGTGTTCTGCTGGGGGTAACTTGTCCAGGACGTAAGGAGGATTATGAAGCTAGAATTCTACCATCACCAAACTTAGTAGTGAATAAAGTGGGAGAAAAGTCATCAAAGGTTAAATGAAAATAAACTTGACTTGCCAGCCGTGTGGCAACCAGCAGGCTTTTTGAGGACAATGTCTTAATCGGTCTGTTAACATTGCAGAGTAGGAGACCTTCCAAACCCCAAACTGTTTTGTTATGCCTTCTTTAGAAGCTGAAAGAGCTTTTAAACAAAACTGTAACTAGTAAGTCAAGTCTTTGCTAAATTGAGTAGTATAGAAGTTAAAAGGAAAGAAAATTAACAATGAGACTGTTTGCCAAAGACACACACAGGAAGCATGGAGAGCCCCGACCTGCACAGACAGTGGGAGCTCAATCTCTACACCACTTTTGTTACTCTGGTACCACCAAGGAAAAATGTCCAACATGCACAGACAAGAAGCAAGACTGGCTCTGTGGCAGGGTTGATAGACTGAAGCAACTCCTTACTCTCCAAGTTACATGTGTTACAGTGGAGACACATAAAAGGTAATGCAGAAGTAGAATCTCTCAACTTGGCAATTAAAAAACTGTTTTCTTTACAGTTCTTTATGAGCTGCTTCTGTAGAGTTTTTTACTAGCAAAACAATCTTTTTGCTTAAGTAAATGACCAAGAAAATTTCATATAAATGCACATTTATGTTCAAGAATTTACTCAACCAAATTGCTAGAGATGTATTCACTTCAAACCACTAATTACTACAAATGTCAACTGTTACAATTATTAATCCACATTTATGACATTTTTATGAAGTGTGGATGTTTAGAAAGCTGGGCTTTAAAGTTGTGTGCCAAGTTTCTTATACCACCACTCACAACAGTCATCTTCCTTCCATGAGCACATCTGCTGACAGCCACACTCCTATCAGATTGTGGACAAGAGCAAGCCATTTTTAAGATCATAGGAAATTCGTTAACTCTCTTGTTAATTTGAAGTGTGTGAGTGTGTGTGTGTATATGAGATCTTCACCATCCCTTGATTTTAAAGAGGTGCTTCCCTGTGGCCTCAGTATTTTATCTGGTTAGCCCCAGTGGTTCTCAAGCTTCTTGATGATGAGAATTCCTTACGAAGATATGTTCAGACTCTACCAAAACAGACATTCTCCTGGCAATGTGCAGACTTTAACAAGTGACTAAGCTAACATTTGGCAAACACTGGCTGACACATCAGTTCGTAAGAGGGATGGGGTATCTGAATATTCCCAAAAAGAATTTCAGACAGAGAAGTAGGTATGTACTCATGGCAGAAATTTACTCTCCTGTTCCCAGGTGCCTCATTTTAAAACATCTATCAGCAGAATGCTGCATAACTATATACTACCCAAAGTTTTCCTCAGTAGACTCCAGTTTGTTTGGGTTTTTTTTTTTCAAATGGAAGTAGAGATGTACACTGGCACTAACTCACTCAGCTTATTCCAAATAATTAAGGCTGTTACAAAGTTTGTTCTGTCAAAAATTATCATTTTAAGCAGGAGAAAGAAAAGCAGTCTACTAGATTAACTTTTAAAAGGATTTTGCTATTTGCTATACAAATATACATTTCAACTTTTACAATAATACCCTCCCCCCCTCCCCCCCATTTGACCTTTCTTCAGGACAAGAGCTCAACATTCCCCATCTCTAGATTCAAGGACATTATTATTGACAAATGTCTTCTGAAAGCTTTTACAACTGACCCAAAGTACTTAAGATAATCAAAAGCAGCACACAAAAAGTTTTAAAGGTAAAAATTATCTGCTCTCGAAGGTCTTACTAACTTTTTGCAGCTTACAGCTCAGGGATTTGGCTTGACTATAAAATTTTCCTTTTCTTTGAATTATTGTCCTCCTCCTCAGGTCTCATGTCCCAGACAGAGTTTCTCTGATGGGTCACAGAGCTACACATTTCTTGTTCCCCTTCACTGAAAACCTTAATCTCTTTTCTGTGGCTGAGGTCTCCTTCCTGGTCACATTTTCTTTTACTTGTGGAAGCATCAGCACTAGCAACTCCAAATTCACACTGCATAAGAGGTCTGTAGCTGCTTGCAGTGGCTACATTAACAGTAAACTGCTGCACAATATTTTCAAGATCCTGGTAAGTTATAGGAAAGCTTGGCTCTCCTGAAGGAGGTGTTGGTCCAGACTGCAGATGGTTCAAAGTCTGTAGATCCCTTACTAATTTTTCTATGACTTCAGAGCCCAATCTTCTCAGCAGTCGTGGGTCCCGAAGTTGATCCTGAACATGAGGTCTTTCAGGATCCTTTGAAGTGATGGTAACAGTAGCTTCCTTGGAGTCAGTGGGACTGTGGCACACAGAAGAACTAGCTGGCATGGCACATCCACTGTCTAGTTTGTTGCTAGGCAAGTCTCCCTGAGGTCTGGACATCTTGGAGCCTACAGCAGGAGGTGGAATCAGACTTCTCTGTAGTACGGGTTTCAGTTTCAGAATCTTCATGGCATCATGCCGATAGTTTTTATCACAGGTCTTAATAATGGCACCACGCCTCTGAGCATCTTGAATTAGGTGATTCCAATGTTCATTTTCCTTAAAGCAAAGAAAGAAACAATTTTACACTCTAACCAATACTCAAATACCCAAAGAAACACAAAATTGCAGATTTAATTTCTAAGTAATTTCATAGATTCTTAAGACCAAAAGGCAAAATTAAGTCTGAATGCAGAACAAAAAAAGCCCTATTACTAAAAAAGTACAACAGTCACCACACACTGGAAGAATGCCCACAATTTTGATTACAGTTCATCATGAATGTCATCATGTAGATTTGCACTAGTAGTTTATATAAAGCAAACCAACCCACTGCCATCTTAAGTTTATTCCAATTCATAGTGCGCTTCCACAGGGTTTCTACAGCTACAAATCTTAATGGAAGGAGAGTACCCATCCTTCTCCCACAAAGCAGCTGGAGGACAAAACTCTTAAACCTTTTGGTGAGAGTTTAATAGCTCCTGTAGTCAATTAAAGTTAAAATTCTTCTGCATTAGCAGTATTTCAAGGGTTCAAAAGTCACACGTGGCTAGCAGTTAGCACATATACAGAACAATTTCATAGTTACACAAAGTTCCCTCACACGTTGCTGACCTAGACTCTTCCTGACTGCTTCTTGGCAAAACTAATATTCTAGAACAGGAAGATTCACTTCTCAAAATCCCAATCTCTAAATATTTTTGGGTCATGCAGAAAGAGGCCAATAGCTGTCATTCTCAAAAGGTCTCAAAATATCCAAGGGCTAAACATCTCAAGCCACTGAGACACTGTCTTACTTTCCCGCTCTTTGCTGTTGTTGTTGTTATGTGCCGTCGAGTCGCCTGCAACTCATAGCGACCCTATGTACAACAGCCCTAAACTCCGCTTTGTCCTGTGCCAATCGCACTGTCTCTGACACTCCCATCCCAATTATCCCAGTCACTGAATCAATCCACCTCATAGAGGGCCTTCCTCTCCTGTGCCGTCCCTCCACCCTACCAAGCATGATGTCCTTCTCCAAGGACTGGTCTCTCCTCACAACATGTCCAAAGTATGTTAGGCGGAGCCTCAGAATCCTTGCCTCCAAGGAGCCACCCAGTTTAACCCTTTCCAGGACGAACATGTTTGTTTTCCTAGCAGTCCATGGTATTCTCAATACTCTTCTCCAGCACCACAGCTCAAAGGCATCAATTCTCCTTCTATCCTCTTTGCTAGAGAAGCTTAATTTATTAATTACTCTTATACTCTCTTCTCTTATTATACTCTATATTCTCTTAGCTACTTCAGCAGTAAATTATTGCTTTCCAAGCCCCAGCAAAGAAAAGAGTAATCATAAGGGGGGGAGATAAAGAGAGATTTAGGCTAGCAGTAAGCATGGTGTTTACTTGTGTGACTCTGGACAAATCACTTGAGCTTTCTGAACCTGTTTTCTCCTCTGTAAAACAGGAATAATATTTAATTGGTTCTGAAGTTTAATTTGCAAATTTGAATGCAGTTTCCAAATACCTATCCTGGAACAACTCATGGGAAGGCAGCTACAAAAGTTCTTGTAAACTAATTTTTTTCCCCCTTTATTGATCATATAAGAAACTTGAGTCCAAGCTCCTGTCTGAAATTCTGTATAGATTTATTCTGATCAAAAAAGCATCAGCAATGAAACTTACAGAATGATTATCAGGAGACAGATGAGGACCCTGGAGACAACATTGGTGCACTGTTAAGAAATGCTCTATTATCAACTCTTTTAATTGGATAGAGAATAATAATAATGGATAAAATGACATTGATGGCTATGAAGTATTAGATGAAATACTTCTAGGAACATCTAAACCAATTAATTTTGTTTGTATTTCCCTTTTTATTTATGAACAAATTTAAAAATCTAAATAGGTTTAAAAGAGTAAATAAACATAAAATTTTAAATAAAACAGTATAAAATAGATAATAATGAGGTATGTTGTTGTGGTTATGTGCCGAGTCGCTTGCGACTCACAGCGACCCTATGTATAAGAGCCCTAAACCCTGCTCTGTCCTGTGCCAATCACACTGTCTCTGACACACCTATCCCGATTGCCCCAGTCACTGAATCAATCCACCTCATAGAGGGCCTTCCCCTCCTGCGTTGTCCCTCCACCCTCCCAAGCATGATGTCCCTCTCCAAGGACCTCTCCCTCCTTACAACATGTCCAAAGTACGTCAGACGAAGCCTCAGAATCATTCCCTCCAAGAAGCAGCCTGGTGTAACTTTCTCTAGGACGAATCTGTTTGTTTTCTTAGCAGTCCAGGGTACATTCAATACTCTTCTCCAGCACCACAGCTCAAAGGCATCAATTCTCCTGCTATCCTCCTTAGTCATTGACCAACTCTCTGATGCATAACAAGTGATTGCAAAGACCACAGCCTGTATCAGACGCACCTTAGTCTCCAGAGTGATACCATCGCTCTTCAGTACTTTGGAGAGGTCCCTAACAGCAGACTTTCCCATCGCAATATGTTTTTTGATTTCCTGACTGCTGGTGCCAAGAGTGTTGACTGTGGAGACGAGTAAACTGAAGCTGTGAACAATCTCAATCTCTTTGCCATCCATCCTGATGCTGTCAATTGGTCCAGTGGTGAGAATCTTTGTCTTCTTAACATTGAGCTTCAATCCATAATAAAGGCTGCAGTCCTTGACCTTCTGCAGCAAGCATGCAGGTCCTCCTCAGTTTCAGCAAGCAGAATTGTGTCATCTCCGTAACGCAGATAGTTAATAGATCTTCCACCAATCCTGACGCCACGCTTCTCCTCATAGAGCCCAGCCTCTCGGATAATCTGTTTTGCATAGGTTGAAAAGGCATGGAGATAGGACACATCCCTGGCGTACACCCTTCCCAATTTTGAACCATGCAGTGTTTCCCTGCTCTGTTCTGACGACTGCCTCTTGGTCCACGTATAGGTTTCGCATTAGAGTGATCAAGTGTTCTGGGATTCCCATTCTTCTCAGAGTCAGCCAGAGTTTGTTATGATCCACACAGTCAAACGCCTTTGCATAATCAATGAAACACAGAAAGACATTCTTCTGGTATTCCCTGCTTTCAGCTAAGATCCATCTAATATCAGCTACAATATCCCTAGTACCACCACCCCTTCTAAGCCCAGCCTGGACTTCTGGCAGTTCTCTGCTGATGAGGTAATATATATTGTAATTAATAGCCCCTTGGACTTGATAAAATATAGTAATAATACTGAAGCTACAAGAGTTTTGTAAACTTAATAATGTTCTACAAAAAAAACACAAGGCATAATGGGTGGCATATTCCAGAAAGATGATGTGGGGTCCATAGGCTTAAGATTTTTCTCAGAAGACCAGCCCCAGCCAGTGTCAGCTGGTGGCTGAAACACATGTGAGAAGCAAATTACCTTGGTCCTATTTTTTGTCAAGACTACATCCAAACAAAAACCTCCCTCTAACAAAATATCAAATCAATTTCTACTTCTAACAACCCTCTGTGGGGTTCTCAAGGCTGTAAATTTTTATGAGAGAAGAATGCCTTGTTCTCCTGAAGAAGGAGCTAATGGATTTGAACCATTGATTTTCTGGTTAACAGCCCAACTCATTTATGTACTTCATGTCTAGGGCTCCTGCACCTAAAAACATTATCAGTATCATCGGCAAGAGGTGAGTTATCTTCAAACATGTGCTAATATGAGGTTTACAAATTCTTAAAAGGGGATAGGAAAAGGTTGTATGGGAACCAGTTCCCAAACATTCTATTTCATATGCCTGTCTTCTAGTGTTCTTCAGTCACTTCGACCTCACCCAGCCCAAGTCTTATCATATGATGCACTGCAAGATTTAGGTACCAAATAAAAAGACTAAAAGTAGTGGTGTCCATCAAGTCTTCTTGAATCAAAGAATCACTAGAGGTGTATCTCTAATAACATTTTATTTTCCAAGTTTAAATATCATTTATTAAAATTTGTAGTGTATTTGTTATTTTTAGTCAACTGTATACAAATAATTTTAGTAAGTTAGGCAATAAGAGGTGAAATTTGAGTGTTTTTATCATTAAAGACTTATAGGTATAGTAAAAACAACACTTTAAAAATGTTTTAAGTTAATTCTTCATTTAAAAGATTTTTTAAAAAAGTAGAGAGTGGTCTTCCAGCCAAAAAATGCCCTGGACCAGATAGATAATTTTATAAGTGAATTTTATCAAACACTCAGAGAAGAACTCTCACCAATTCTACATAAACTATTTCAGGAAATAGAAAAAGATGGAATTCTCCCAAACTCATTCTATAAAGCAAACATATCCTTGGATACCAAAGCCAGGAAAGGACACATGAACATACATGCAAAAGTCCAGAGTAACATACTGGCCAGTAGAATCCAACGATACATCAAAGAAATAATTCACCATGACCAAGTGGGATTCATAACAGGTATGCAAGGATGGTTCAACATAAGAAAAACTATCAATGTAATTCATCATATTAACAAAGCAAAGAACAAGAACCACATGATCCTATCAATTGATACAGAAAAGGCCTTTGACAAAATCCAACATGCTTTCCTGATTAAAATACTCAACAAAATAGGATTAGAGGGGAATTTCTTCAACATAGTAAAAAGTATATACGCAAACCTGAGAACTAACATTGTTCTAAATGGAGAGAGGTTATAAAGGCATTCCTTTTAAGAACAGGAACTAGGCATGAATGCCTACTATTACCTCTCTTATTCAATATTGTATTGAAGTCTTAGCAATAGCAATAAGACAAGAAAAGGATATAAGAGGAATCCAAATTGGCAAAGAGGAGGTAAAACTATATCTCCATGCAGATGATATGATAGTGAATTTAGAACACCCTCAAGATTCAGCAAGAAAACTACTGGCCATAGTTGACCAATTCAGCAAATTGGCAGAATACAAGATCAACATACAAAAATCAGTTGGATTTCTCTACAGCGACAAAGAGAATACAGAGCTGGAGCTAAGAAAAATAATACCCTTCACAGTAGTTAACCACAAGATTAAATACTTGAGAGTAAATGTAACCAGAAGGACAAAGGAACTATTCAAAGAAAATTACAAAACATTACTACAAGAAACAAAAAGAGACCTTGAGAAGTGGAAGAATATCCCTTGCTCTGGATAGGAAGACTCAAAATCGTGAAAATGGCAATACTACCAAAGACAATTTACATGTTCAATGCAATCTCAATACAAATAAAAATTTTTCAATGAGATGAAAAAGGCAATCTTCAGTTTCATATGGAATGGAAAGAAGCCCCAAATAAGCAAAGCACTCCTTAAAAAGAGAAACAAGGTAGGAGGCATCTCACTCCCTGATTTAAAATCCTACTACACTGCTGTGCCTGGTCAAGACACTGCAGTACTGGTACAATGACAGACAGACAGATCATTGGAATAGAATTAAGAACCTGGAAATTAGCCCACCTATCTATGGTCAACTGATTTTTGACAAGAAGATGAAATCAGTTAAGTGGGGAAATGACAGCTTTTTAAACAAATGGTGTTGGCAAAATTGGAAAACTATCTGCAGAAAACTCAAGCAAGATCCCCACCTTAATCCGTACACAAAAATCAACTCAAGGTGGATCATGGACCTAGGACTAAAAGGAAGGACCATAAACTTCATTAAAGAAAAGCTGGAAGAACTCTAGACATCCTAATCCATAACATCAACAGTCTTCCAAGCATCCTGAAAAAACTACAACCAGGAGAGGATAAAACAGATGAATGGGACATTCCAAGAATCAAATCCCTATGCACATCCAAAAACTTCTCCAACAGGGTAAAATGGGAAGCCACAGACTGGGGAAAAAGTATTTGGTGATGACATGTTAGATAAGGGACTTATATCTAGAATTTATTAAATGCTCAAGCACCACAACAAGATAACCCAATTGAAAAATGGGCATAGGATATGAAGAGACACTTCACCAAAGACGACATTCAGATTGCCAACAAACACATGAAGAAATGTTCAAAATCCCTAGCTCTAAGAGAGAGATGCAAATCTAAACAACTATGAGATATCATCTCACCCCAGTAAGAACAGCAAAATTTAACAGAACAGCAAACAACAAATGCTGGCAAGGTTGTAGAGAAACTGGAACCCTTATTAACTGTTGGTGGGAGTGTAAAATAAATGGTGCAGCCACTATGGAAGGCAATATGGAGCTTTCTCAAAAAGTTGCAAATAGAATTACCATTTGACCCAGCAATTCCACTACTGGGAATATACCCCAAAGAGACCATAACTGACATCCAAGCAGATATATGCACACCCATGTTTATCGCAGCTTTGTTCACAATAGTAAGGAGTTGGAAACAACCCAGGTGCCTATCAACAAACGAACGGATAGAGAAGCTGTGGTATATTCACACAATGGAATAAATACCATGCTGCATTGAAAAACAAGGTACTCATGAAATATTATTCAAAATGGATGACCCTGAAGGACATTATCAGTCACAAAAGGACAAATATTGCATAAAGCCACTGTTGTAAAATGGCACCGACATAGGGATTGGGGGGAATACTGACAAAGATGGGATAAATTATGTATACTGCATTGAAACAGATGAGAGAGAGAATTGTTTAAAAAGTACAGATGATTAGGTATTATAGTCATGAGTTCTGAATGAAGGTTGCATAGTGGAGTAAACTTGGGGGGAGGGATTGTATAACAATGAAAGAATTTTACTTTTCAAAGAAAAGAAAGAACTGGAGGGGAGGGGTGGGCAGGGAGAATAGTGCAACAATGAATGAATGGATGTCTGAAATCTCCATAAATTTTCATTAAAATGAATAATAATAAAACAATTTTAAAAAAGGGAGAGATGGTCTCTTGTATCCTAAATTTCCAATTCAAAACTCAAGCTTATTGCTGCTGAGTTAGAAGTGACTCACAAAAAAAAAAAAAAAAAAGAAGTGACTCACAGCAGATTTCAAAGGTTGTATATCACATAAGAGATTTTCCATTATCCTGAGAACTGCTGGGGACTCAAACCCCCCTCGAGAGCCACCACTTTCAGGCCAGGAGTGCACCTTCCTAAGGACTCTTGCCACCATAGTGCCTTAAATTTCCAATTATTGTTTATTTATATTAGAAACAGTATCATTGGTAACTAAAAATAACACTTTCTTGATATTTAATTTAAAAATAGGGCGTTCATAGCTTTTAAAAATGCTTAGAAGGGAGTACACAATAATAGTTGAAGAATACAGACCTAAGAGAATGAAATTTTTTAAAAAAGAAATTAGTATTTGAGTGCCCTCTGGTGGTAATAACCAAAATGAGGGACAAAAGACACTGAACAGAGAAATTAGAAAAACAAGTTATAGTCCCTGAGACAAACAGAAAAAAAAAAAGTACCATTTTCCACAATCATAACATCAAATTAAGCTGTACTGTTTACCTACTAAAGATACAAATATGTACACCTGTTCTAGAGAAGAACTTGGATTGGCACAAGCATTTTGCTGGCACTACCTGCCAACATGCCATGTTTAAGGGCTAAAAAGGAAATTGGAGCACACATTTGCTTTTATCTTATGTCTGGCATTAAGCTGGGCCAATAAAAGATATATCAAGAGCTGAATACTGCTATGGTATGTTATATGTATGGATTTACATGCATTCCAAATAATCCTACAACATGGCTCTTTAAAAAAGGGAGGGAAAGCCAAGGAACTGAGAAGGGTAATTACCTCAAGAACCTAGCTTAGTATTTTTGGCTTTAGGTTGAGAAGAGTGAATAAAGTCATGCATATAAAGATATGACAACTCCCAAGAAGTTGTTGCTGGAAATATATACAACCACCAGGGGGCATTAGTTCACTATTTTGTAACAGAAATTATCTCCACTTTGATAAAAAAATAAAAACAACTCCCCAGCCCACTAACAGTAAAAACAGCAAACTAGTGTTTGGAATTCTCTGGTTACCAAGGATGTACCTACCATGAGAGTTTTCAAATGTCCAAGGATGAAGAGGCTGTACTTGGCGCGAGTGATGGTGACATTCAATCTCGGCAAACTTGCCAGGAACCTAAGTAGGCAAAAAAAGTTCCTTATTTTTATAGAATTAACTGGTAAAGGTTAGACATAAAATATCTCTTCTAAAATAGTGTTACCTGGCAAAAAAGTCATTCTCATTAAAAGCCTGTAAACAGACAAAAACCTAGTGTATTCAAAATCAACGTTCAAAATGATGTATCTAGATTCCTGGGTTTGTAGCTGGTGTCCACAGGAGCTGAACCAAGAGAAGATGTTTGACACTGTGTGTGCTAGAGTAGATTGCTAAAATTTGTTGGCTTGCTCTGGACTGGACTTGTTTGTAGATGGAGACACTCAAAATTCCATTCAGAACAAAAGATTGTTCAGAGAAAAGAACATGCTTGTCTCCTCAGAGTACTGAATTTATAGGGACTGGCAAATTAGGAACTGATTATTTAAAAGGAGGACAGATAAAAGACATGAAGTAGCTGGCTTACAGGCTTTCATAAATCTAAGCAATTTAGGGGGGAAATTAATACTGAACTATGAAGGCCAATGGCTAGAAAAAGCTAAGGAGTGACCCGTGCTACAGGATCATTCAATATGGCTTTGCAACCCGCTGAATTTGACTTTCACAACATAGCTAGGCGGTTGTATGCTGCTGAGTTAGAACCAATCCTTATCTGACCCTTCAGCTTTGAGAGGCAGTAAATTACATTGAATGAGACTGTCCATCTTTCTCCTACACAGCAGCTGGTAGATTTGAATTGCGTACCTTTGGTTAGATCCATCTAAAATCCTTATTACTACAGCCTCTTTTAAATCCAGCTTACACATCTGGCAGTGTCAGTCAGTTCTGGATAATTTTCAGCAGGATCTTGCTTGCATGTCACATTGTTTGTTAATTTTCACACAATGTCGGGTCACCATTTTTTTTTTAATTGGAACAAATATGGATCTCTTCCAGTCAGATGGCCAGGCTGCCGTCTTCTACATTTCTTGGCACAACCTGGTGAGAGTGTTCAGGGCAGCATCTGTTTATTGAAATATGTCAACTCAATTCCTGGAGCCTTCTTTTTTGCCAATTCCTTTAGAGCAGCTTGAACTCCCTCCTTCATCACCATAGGCTCTTGATCTTATTGTTTCATGAAATTCATCTGTGTCAGCCAGTTCTTTCTGGTACAGTGACTATATATTCCCTTCCACTTCTTTTGATGTTTCCTGGGTCTTTCAACATTCTGCCCACAGCATCCTTAAGTACTGCAACTTGAGGCTTGAATTTGTTCTTCAGTTTAAGAAATGCTAAGTGAGTTCATCCTTTCTGATTTTCCAACTCCAGCTCTTTGTACATTTTATTATCATACTTTGCTGTTTTTGTGTGCTGCCCTCTGAAACCTTCTGTTCAGGACTATACAAATGTCAGACGCTTATGATTGGTAAATAGTGCCTGCTGCGTAGAAACATGTAAATAAGGTATGTAGACCACCAACATGGGATTGGTCAGTTTTACCATCCATCCAGGCTTTAAATTGAGCAGGTTGAGAGGCAGATAATGAGACTCTCACCACTATTATAAAGAAAGAAGCAGCAGCATGCACCCTGTCCTTTGGGCCAGAGATTCCTATATGAGACTGAGATGCCGTAGTGGTACTATTTATAAAGTAAGAAGAAAGGTGGCACCAGAGACCAGCATGAGACAGACCTTTGTGCTTGGTCTAGGTTTATAGGTAGAGTATGTGCATATATATGAGTATATACAACTGGCAAAACAAAAAGAGCTTTTAACATGCACACAGGGGAGAATTTATGCATTTGAGATCAAAGAGACTTCCCTAAAAGTACACTTAAGAAGAAGCTATTCTGGCTGAAAATTTTATCATTTGAGTTTCTGACCTGATCCTGATCCTTCCCTACAACTGTGTGTATGCATGTGAATGCTATGTCTGTCAATATTTTTTATTTGGATGTTGTTAAGTGCTGTCAAGTCATAGACGACTTATAGGGACCCTATGAAAGAAAGATCTGAACACTTGTAAAACTTTCACCATTTCTCTAAGTTCATCGAGCTTCTGGAGGCAAGCTATTTCAGAAATAAATGCCACACCTGTTTCCAAGCCTGTTTTAATCTGGGAGTTCAACCAAACACTGTCCACCATGGGTAACCATTATCCCATTTGATACATCAGTGTCACAATGTTTAGCATCTTAGCAAACATGATTTATCTCTGTACAGCAAATTGACAGACCAGTGCTATTATGACTTGGGTAAGTACTATAAATTTTATTTAATAGCAGTATGATTTTTATGTCTTAAAACTAGATCAACATACTTTTAAAGTTAAAATTTACAACAGAGTGTCCAAATGATGCAAAAAACTTCATCAGCTACCAATCAAGTGGTTGAAGGGTCGAGGTTACCCAGATGCACCTCAAAAGGTACCTGATGAACTATTTTCAAAAAAGCTTCCAACTACTGAAAACCCTATGGAGGACAGCTGTACCATAACCTAAATGAGGCACCAGGAGCCAGAACCAATCTAATGTAATCTTCTAGCGCAGAAAACACAATCAGACAAATAAATGGGTGTGCAACTCTTTTCAGGCCCATTTATTTGTCTGATTGTGTTTTCTGAACTAGAAGATTTGGTATATAATAAAGGAAAAAGATAAAAATTAGTTGAGAAAGCATATACTAAATAAAATAGGTTCCTGAGATAACTGGTCCCCATTTACAGATACAGGTTATCTTTAGGAAGGAGACAGAAATAATATAATTTTTCCATTCTTATTAAAGAAAACAAATTTACAATTTGGAAATTTTACCTACTTAAACAATCATTGCTTAAAAATCCTGAGCCCTGAATCTCTAAAGATTTCTAAGTGTTAGCTACATATGTGTCCCTAGCATTTTCAACAGGTGAACTGCGCAGCAGCAAATGGCAAAGTAGGAAAAGTGAGAAAAGAGAAAACCACTGTGTGATATTATCTCTTGTGAGAGTAATGTTCCTTAAAATGTACCTGATTCAATTTTTTATTTCACTGTTACTAACAAGATGAACATACTGTGAAATGAGGTCATGTATGAGGTACCATCGGAAACAGATCTAATCACTGATGTAGTTCAAAACTTTAAAAAAACCAAAAAACGCCTACATATTACACAGGTTTTTATAAAAGAAAATACATACAACAATGATCATGTCTTTAAAGTGATGGCTTTAATCCTAGATTAAGAAACAAACACAAAAGTAACTTATGTTTACTCACCCAATTGAGCCTTGCACAGCTTTTGCTCTGACACATGTAACAATAATACAATCTTTTTGACGACCTTGGAAACCATCTACAGTATCTACTTCTGCTGATCTATTTACATAAAGAGAAAACATGCTTATTGGAAAAATAGAAATATTAAATATACATATTTCTACAAGAGTATTTTAGATTAACTTTTCCTATTTTCTTTTTTGGTTGTGTTTTTGCAATGTAATTAATGTAACATAAAACTCACTATTTTTTAAATATTTTTAGTATATTCACAGAAATAAAATATGCAATCACCTATTCGGAGTATTTCCAACACCACAAAAAGAAGTCTCATTATCTATCAGAAGTAAGCCTATGCTTCACTCTAATTCCTAGCCAGACTCTGCATATTTTAACAATAAAATGTAAGTATGTGTCTCGCTTCTTTCATTTAGCATCTTGTTGTCAAAGTTTATCTAAGCTGATGCATGCAATACAGAATTGTTTATGGCTGAATAATATTCCAATATGAATATATATGAGTGTGTGTGTACCTATATGTATACATTCATACACATACTACATTTAGCCATTTGTCAGCTAACACAGAGTATTCTTTTTCACTATTAAGAATATTCATGCGCTCATTTCTCTGTGGATGTATTTTCAATTCTTTTGGAACCACTTGATCATACGGCCATTTTATGTTTAACTTTTTGGAGAATTGTCAAACTTTTCTATAGCACTTGTCTTACATTTCCACCAGTAATATGAGGTGGTCAAATGAGTAAGGAGTTAAGCTGCCAATTCAAAGGTAGGCAGTTTGAATCCACCAATTGCTGTGCTGTAGAAAGATGGTCAATCTCCTCTTGTGTGAATTACAGCCTCTGATAACCTGTTGGAAGGTCAAATATGAGTTGCTCCAACTGGAAGGCAACTAACACATATATATATTTATTTTAGTTAAAGCTGTCTTGGTGGGTGTGAAGTAATATCTCATTTTGGTTTTGAGTTACATGTCACAAATGACTAACAGTGTTGTTGAGCATTTCATGACTTTAATGACCATTTTCTTATATTTTTTGAGAAATATTCAAATCTTTTGTCTAATTTTTGAGTTTTGTTATTCTTGAATTTTAGGAGTCCTTTATATAATACTGATTACTAGAGATGACTCAACAGCACATAACAACAACAACAACTAGATAATTATTAGATAAAAGATTTATAAATACTGTCTCCCAGTCCAAGAATTATCTGTTCACTTTCTTGAAAATATCCTTTGATGGACAGTTTTAAGTTTCGATCAAGTTTGATAATGTACTTTTTTCCTTTGGTTGCTTGTCTTTTTTAAGTCGTATCTAAGAAACTACTGTATAAACCATAGATCATACAGATTTGTACCTACACATTGGCAGTTCTGGCTATGAATTGGTCTAGTTTTGTCTCTTCGATTTGGGTCTTTGAGCCACTTTATATATTATGTAAGGTAGAAATCCAAATTTAGTCTTTTACGTGTGGATATCCAATTGTCCCAATACCATTTCTTAAAAGAAGCTATTCTTTACCTTTTATATAGTCTTGGTACATTTGTTAAGTATCAATTGACCATAAATATAGTTTTATTTGTAGACTTTTAATTCTATTATATTGGTAATGTCTATTCTTAACTCAGTATAAACTTACAGTCAACTTTTGAAATCAGAAAGTGATTCCTCCTCGTTCTACTTTCTAAAGACTGCTGTAGTCACTTGGTATCCTTTCCATTTCTATGTGAATTTTTGGATTAGCTTATCCAATTCTACACATGCACACAAAAACCCAGTTTTAAATTTAACAAAAACTGTACTGAATCCACTGATCAATTTAAGAGTATTGCATTCTTGTTCAATAATGTATACTGCATTGAAACAGATGAGAGACAAAACTGTTTAAAAGGGATATGTGATTAGGTATTTTTGTCATGACAGGAGTCCAGAGCAAAGGATGCATAGTCGAGTGGACCTGGGGGAGGGTTTGTAAAACAATGAAAGAATTTTTCTTTTACTTTTCCAAGAACATAGTGTACTAGGGGGGAGGGTTGGGAGGGGAGAAAAGTGCAACAATGAATGAACGGAAACCCAAAGTCTCGGTAAATTTTCATTGAAATTAATAATTTACAAAAAAAAGACTATTGCCATCTTAACAATATGAAGGTTTCCAATCTTGAAGATAGGCTGTCCTCCTATTTATTCAGGTTCTCTTTAATATTTTTCAGCAGTTTTAGAGTTTTCAATGTTCAATTCTTACAGTTCTTTGGTTAAATTTATTCCTTAATACTTTATTTTTTTAGATGTTATTAAAAGTGAATATACATTTCTAAAAATTTTTTTATAATAATTTCTATAATAATATACCATTCACAATTAGTCATTAAAAACGCAACTGATTTTTTGACATTGTGTTCTAACTTTGCTAAACTTATTGGCTCTAATAGTAAGGGTTTTTTTGTGTGACTCCTTTAGGGATATAAACATACAAGATCATTGAAACTTTAGGTAACTTATATTGTAACTTTCTATACAGTCTGGATGGTTTTACTTTCTTTTTCTTGCTCAAGTGCCTGGGACAGAACCTAAACATAATGTTTGACAAAGTGTTTTGTGGGAAGCCAAATTTCAAACTAAATATTAATAATAAACCAAGTTTATCCGGATAAGAGGGAGGCACAGATATAAGCTGGAATTCTCCCTGAAGGAGAAGGCAGACCTTAGGTGTTCACAAGGGTTAAGCTAGGCATTTTCACAATTCTTGGATTGTATTTGCTAAGCCCTCCCTCCGGAGTCAAGTATAAAGTTTTCAATAGAAAGAGCTTAGCTTCATTTGCATAGTATTACTTGTTTTTTGTTCCCTGGCAATATTCAATAAAGACACAGAAAAGCTGGGTTAGGGCTTCAGATCTTCCAGCTGCTCACTCCCTGCTTTACCTCTGTTTTCTCCTACATTCTTGGGTGTCCTGTCTCATTATTAATTCTTTACCTTCAGTCAACAACAGTGTTTATCCTTTGTGATTTATCAAGTGATAAGTAAACAGGCTAGCAGCCCAGTTTTAAATTTTGTGCTATTCTCATCAAACTAATTTCAACTGGGGGCAGCCTTCCTTTTTTAAAAGGAGAACATTTTTTTTTTCAAGTTCTAGTTTGTTGAGCAGATTTACTATGAAAAGATGCTAGAGGCAGTTTCTCTAGCAACAGTTAATATTGGTCCCTCCTCCTTTTAATGGCATATTAATGACTCATTACATTGACTGAAGTTCAAATGTTAAATTAACTCTACATTGTTGCAATAAATTCCACTTGGTCACAATGAAAATACTTTTTACATGCTTCTGGATTCAGCCTGCTGGTATTTCTGTTGCAGTCCTTTCCATCTATACTCATAAGGATATTAACTGGCAGTTCTCTTTTGATCTCTTTGGTCTGATTTTGGTAACTTGTAAAACTGGCCTCAAAATGAGTTAGAAGTGTTTTCATCTCTTTTTTGGGGAGAGGGAATGATTCTGAGATGGATTGGTGTTAGTTCTTCAAATATTTAGTAGAAATTTGATGAATGAAGCCATTTGGATACAGAGTTTTTGTTTCTGGGTTCAAATTTTTTATTATTAACTCAATCTCTTTGTTCTTCACTTTTCCAACTTTTTGGGTCAATTTTGGTAACTTTATGTGTTTCTAGGTGATAAAACTTCTGAATTAAGAGATTTCCAACATATACTCTTTTACTGTTGAGGTGAAAAGACAAAATATATTCTCCACTCTATGCAAAAAGGCAATAGAAAAACCAAATAATTTCTTGTAAATGAAAAACAAAAACAAACAAACAAAAAACCACAAACCTTAATAAACTTAATTAGGATTATGTCAGTTTAACAAATCACCAAAAAAAGTTAACAGGTTTGGAAATTTTCTCAGTCAAGTCCTGTAAAGTGTAACATTGATGTTCCATTAGATTGTAAAAGGGGCAACAAGTGTAAACACCTCCAACACAGGCCAGATTTTAGAAAGCCAGTTTCCTAGTCTGTGCTTCACCACTACCTTACATTGTCTAAGACCATCCCTTAAAGTTTCCACCTCTTCTTTTTTCCATACCCTCTCCCTCTTTTTAATGTTACAAAAAAACTGGGTATGTATAAAAATGGCTCACCCTTTTCTATCAAACTCTTTGTCCAGATCATTCTGAATCATCCTCTTCTGAGCTTTGTAATGGGTTATTATGCCAATATTTCGGAAAGAAATATCCCTTCGTTTGTCTTTAATAAGTTTAATTATTTCCAGCACCAATTTTATTTCTTGAACATTAACATAAGAGCTATAAATAGGATAAAAAAATAAACATTTAAAATTAGTAACAATTGAAACCCCAAGTCTCTGTAAACATTCACTAAAATTAAAAATTAAAATTAACAAAAAAAATTAGTAACAGTTTGACTGCTAACTTAAGTTCCTCTTTCGTTTGCCATCCAGTAATGGGCAGGATAGTGGGTTTCATCATTTATTCAGCCAGCAGTGATTCAAAGAGGTTGTTTCATCAATCTTTAATATTATACACATGAGTAAACTGCCCAGTGAAATAAGAAGTTGTAGAAACAATAGAGTTTGGAATCAACTCCATTTTAGGCACCAATTTCTTTATCGTTACAGTAGGGATAATAGTAACACTAAGGTAACAGTGTTTACAAAAATAAAGATATTAATTATAAATAGCTAACATCACCACCATTCAACAGTCAACTTTTGTACTACGGTGGCTTCTGTACTGCTTTGATGACAAAAGTTAAGCCACCAGTATTTCAAACCAGAATGATCACTCATGGAGGTCAACTGACTAAGGCAGTTTAGGAAGAAAGGTCTGGTGATCAATGAAAATTTTATGACTCGCAACAAAAAACTGTCCAAATGAATACCAGAAGATGAACTCTTAAAGCTAGAAGGCTAAACAGCCACAAATATACCAGTGATCATGAAGACAGAACAGGACCAGGCAACATCTGGTTCTGTTAAAACACAGGCCACAAAGTTTGGAGCTGACTCAACAGTAAACTAACATTAGATGAAAGTTCTAAGTCCTGAAAAAAGTGCTTAACTTCTTTAATTCATCATCACTGCCCAAGACAAGATTAGTGGCACTGGCTGTGCAGACTATGACTATGGAGTGCATAACTGAGATGTTATCTATGTAAATTTTCTAAATGGGAAGGAACAGGTGGTACCTAGAAAGTATAATAATTTGGGAACCTACACAAAGCCCATGTCCTTACTGGTCCAATAGACCAAACTTTTAACCTTAAGAAAGTTCCCAGTATTTCTAGGATATGATGTCTAAAAGATAGTATTCCTTCAGTACATTAGATCCAACATACAGGAATACCAGAATATGCACTCCATCTTTATTTCTGAAGCTACATATAGCTTTAAATTTACATATAGGCGTCGCCTCTAAAGTTAAGTTTCTCTGGTCAATATTGCACTGAGATATTTCATTCCCATAGTGATCTAAAGTTCAAACTCTCAATTCTCTGCTCTGCTTCAATGGGCACATCAAAAACAATATAGCTGCACCTCCTCTAGATTTTTAACTCTATGACTGAATGTTCCTTCTCTATTTCTGTATCTTACCAATTATTGATTCTCACCTAAAAGTGCCACCTGCCCTGCAGTCCTCTAAGGACACTCACTCACTTATTGCTGAGACAGAACCAACTCATAGCAGCTGTTCAGAGCCAATAAATCTGAGAGAAGGAGACTGAGCATCTTTCTCCTGTGGATCTCCTGGTGGATTTTTGTCACCAGAGAAGCACAGCCCTAGGATTAGCAGCACAACTTCCTATGGACTATGCCATCAGAGGTCCCCACACAAAGGTACAACAAGTCTCAAGGTGCAATAGTTAGAGATGCTAGATGCAAAATCTTAATGATCCAGGAAATATAAAGAGAAGATGGAGGGCATACACAGAATCACTATACCAAATAAAACTGGCCAACATTGAAATATTTCAGGAAATACAATATGATCAAGAGCTAATGGTAATGAATGAAAAAGTTCAAGCTGCACGAAAGCACTGGCAAAAAATAAGCCCTCAAGAATCAAAGGAGTATCAACTGACATGCTTGAAATGACAGACGTCGCCCTGGATGTGCTCACCAGTCTATGCAAGGAAATTCGGAGGACAGCTGCCTGGCCAGCTGACTGGAAGAGATCCATATTTGTTACCATTCCAAGAAAGGCAATTCAACAGAATGGGGAAATTATAGAGTATCATTACTATTATCCGCAAGCAAAATACTGCTGAAGCTCAAAGACAGCTAAAACAAACTATCTCTCAACAGAGAACTGCCAGACATTCAAGTTCAATTTAGAAGAGGCTGTGGTACCAGGGTTATCAATACTGATGTCAGATGAATTGTGGCTGAATGCAAAGAATACCAAAAGAATGTCTATTTTTCAGGCCACCTACACCACCACTCGCCTTGGCATCTACACAGTACTTTTTGAACGGCTGACTGGGGCGGATGGTACACCTCCTGGCTTTTTGCTGAAGGCTCTGATTGGCTTGACTGCAGGTGCAACTGGTGCCTTTGTGGGAACACCAGCTGAAGTGGCTCTCATTCGCATGACAGCTGATGGCCGGCTTCCGCCTGACCAGTGCTGTGGCTACAAAAATGTGTTCAATGCCCTAATTCGAATTGCCCAGGAAGGGGGAGTCCCCACACTGTGGAGAGGCTGCATCCCTACCATGGCCCGGGCTGTCATTGTCAATGCTGCCCAGCTTGCTTCCTATTCTCAGTCTAAGCAGTTCTTGCTGGACTCAGGATATTTCTCTGACAACATCCTGTGCCACTTCTGTGCCAGCATGATCAGCAGCCTTGTCACCACTGCTGCTTCCATGCCTGTGGATATTGTCAAGACCTGGATCCAGAACATGCGAATGATTGACGGGAAACCAGAATACAAGAATGGGCTGGATGTCTTGGTGAAGGTCATCCGCTATGAGGGCTTCTTCAGCCTATGAAAGGGCTTCACGCCATACTATGCTCGACTGGACCCTCACACCCTCCTCACCTTCATCTTCTTGGAGCAGATGAACAAGGCCTATAAGCGGCTCTTCCTCAGTGGCTGAGCCGGGTGGGGGAATCAACACTCCCATAGTCAGTGTGCCCTGGGGTACTTGAACTTTGCTGCCCTGGGTCCCTCTATTTATTTTCCCTCCACAGTGTGTGGTTTCCTCTTGCCATAAAGATCTCTAGTCTCTCTATCCCTGTTCCACTTTGCCCAGCTTGTCGTGATCTTTTTGACCTTTCTGAGGATATCTGTCCTCTTCGGTATTAGTTTCAGGACACGCAGGAAGCAGAAGGCCCCATTCTCAGTGAAGATATTAAGATCAAGCCGAGGGGTCAGGAAGGTACCCCACAACCTCCTCGCAATGGTCAAAGAGACTCCACCTCATTGAAGGCTTAATAAATTGAATTGATGATACAAAAAAAAAGGTCTATTTTTACATTAATGACTATGTAAAAGGTACCTGACTATGTGAATTATAACAAATTATGGCTAACATTAAGAAGAATGGGAATTCTAGAACACTTAATTGTGCTCATGCGAAACTTGTATCTGGACCAAGAAGCTATTGTGCCAGTGGAGTAAGAGAACACCACATGGTTTAAAATTAGCAAAGGTGTGCATTAGGGTCTTTCTCCATACCTACTTAATATGTATGTTCAGCAATTATTCAAGAAGCTGGACTCTATAAAGAAGAACGGGGAATCAGGATTGGAGGAAGACTGATCAATAATCTTCATTATGTGTCTGACACAACCTAGCTTGCTAAAAGTGAGGGGGACTGGAAGCACTTGCTGCAGAAGGTAAAATAGTGCTGCCTTCAATATGAATTGCATCTCATATCGGAAAAACAAAAATCCTCAAGAATGGACTAAAGACCACATCATGACAGATGGAGTAAAGATTGCAACTATCAATGACTTCATCTTACTTGGATCCACAATCAATACATTTGACACCAGGAGTCAGGAGATCAGATGTATTGCATTAGAAAAGTCTGTAATCAGAAACCTCTCCAAATTTCTGAGGACCAATGTTATCAGTTTAGGGACTAAGGTGCATGTGATCTGGGCCATAGTTTTTTCAGTTACTTGCTATGCATTTGAAAGCAAGAAAATGAATAAGGATGACAGAAGAACAAACAATGCCTTTAAACTGTGGCACTGAGAAGAGTACTGAGTATCTCAGAGACTGCCAAAAGAACAAAAATATTTTTTAATAAGGTGTAATCAGAGTGTTCCTTGGAAGTTTGTCTCACATACTTTGGGCATGTTGTTAGAAGTTATTCCTTGGAGAGAGACATCATTGGAAAGGTGGAGGAATGGTGAAGGAGAAGACCCTCCACCAAGTGGACTGACAAAGTGACTGCAGCAATGGATTCAAGTGTGTCAAATTATAAGGATGCCATAAGCTAGGGCAGGGTTCAGATCTGTTGTTCATAGACTTGCTTTGAGTGGTACTTAACAGCACCTATCAACAACATTTCCTAGCTGTTAACTGAAGCATGGCAACTGGAATCCCATAGATTTCTGAGGCTTGACTTTTTGCCAATGCCTCTAACACACTTTGAACATCTTTTCCAATCATAATTGGTTCTTTATCATATGCTACTTCCTGAAATATTTGTGCTGACCAATTCTTTTTGGTATAGTGACTCCATGTAGCCCATTTTCTTCTGATGAAATCTTGAATCATCTAAGATTTTGCAGCTTAAGGCTTGAATTTTTCAGTTTTTTTCAACCTGAGAAATGTTGAACAAGTTTCTTTCTTTTTATTCTCCAGTTCTTCATACATTCTGTTAGGATATTTTACTTTGTTTTCTCAAGCTGCCCTCTAAAATCTTCTGTTCAGGTTTTTTACTTTGGCATCTTTTGTTTTGGCTTCTCTAGGCTCTAGTACAACTTTCAGAATCTCTTCTGACATCTATTTTCTTTCTTTAAATTTTTTTCCCCTGACATCCATTTTTGTCTTTTCTTTCTCCTCTGCCTTTACAAAGACCTTTTGCTCTCTTCATGGACGATATCTCTGTTGCTATCCCAAAACTTACTTGGTCTTCAATCGTTAGTGTTCTATGCCTCAAGTCTATTCTTGAATTTTTAAATTCAGGTGAGACAGATCCAAAGTTGTATTTTTTTTTTTCATAAATGAAACAAAATGTATGTGAATTTTGTATGCAAACCAATATAAAATAAAAATAATTTTTAAAAAACGCAAGAAAGGAAGGATGATGGAAAGAAATACTACTGCAATGTGCAAGGTCTCAAAGGAAGCTAAGAAATAATTAGCTCTTCCTAAAGGTCGTTAAGAAGCACAAAATAGTGGTGACAGTGTTTGAATGCTCTTCTATGCAGGAATACCATTCCTTGGGATGCAAAACTTGAAATCATGTGGAACTGAATTCAGTCACCATGAATTTAGGGACTTGTAAGTGAGCTGGTCTCCAGGCAGAGCAATCAGAAGGCAATTCTCAGAGCACATTTTTCATGAGAATATGTGTGAAATATAAGAAGTTACATAAAAACAAAACCAAGATTGTCCATGTCCACTGGCCCGAGTACTGCCAAGGCATTTCAAATGGCTATGGTCTCTACTTTACAATTAAAAATTCTCTAGCTCTATCAACTCATCAATTTCTTACTCAGTCCTCCTAAGAAATGACACCCTTGCCTTGCCTTCTTGCATAAGTTGAACCGGGCTGCATTGATAGGATAGAACCTTTTCATTCTAAACTATGAGTACTTGGCCTGGGCAGTCTCTCCTTTTTTGAAGAACCAGACCATGAGCTCATAAAAGTCCTCATATCTCACAGTTCCTACAATGGTAGTTCTTATTCCCAGCTGAAGCCCCTCAATGTGGCTTTGTCTCCCTGGTTCTCTGATAGGGTATCCATGGTCTCAAGGCCAAGGCTGCAGGCTGAGCAGGAACTTGGAGCTGGGCAATATAAGCCCAGGTTTCGTGCAGCTTGGGAGATCCTGGGAGTTTTCTTTTGAGGAAATGGGTTACAAGCTGATTTTCCAGGTCTGTGTAGGTTCTCTGAGGGAAGAGAGCATTGAATGCTCTTGTGTAAGCCAGATTACTCTGCCTTTACCGACCTGAAATTGACATTGGGCTGTCTCTGGCATTTCGAGCTCTTGCTGAGTCCTCTGATTGCTTTCAAACAAGCCTGGGTCTCTTTCAGGAGCAAGCCTTTGGTCAGACTCAGTGAGTCTGCTTTTGGTTCTTGTGGAATTGTTTCCATCCTATATATCTTCAATTTGAATTTGCACATGAATAATTGATGATCTGTTCCATAGTCAGCACCTAACCTGGTTTTGACTATTGATATTAAGCTTCTCTGATGACTCTTTCCACATATATAGTCAACTTCGTTCCCGTGCAAATCAAGTGAAGTCTATGTGTATAGTCACCATCTGTGAATCTTTTTTTTTCCATCTGTGAATCTTAAAGAAGTTATCTGCATTGAATAAATCACTGACTGTATATAATTCAATCATTTGATATCCAGCCTCACTAGGATACCACCTGACATGTTTTGATTAACAGATACAGGCCTGGCCGTGCTCACCAGTTTGTGGCAGGAAATATGGAAGTAAGCTACCAACTGACTGGAAGAGATCGATAACTAGTCCCATTTCCAAGAAAGGTATCCAAAAAAATGTGGAAATTACAGAACAAGGTCATTAGTATTATATGCAAGCAAAATAATGCTTAAGATTAAAACAAACCCCAACAAAATCATATAAAACAGTAGACTGGGGGGAGCTCTGGTGGCCTAGTGCTAAGGAGCTGCAACTACAATGCCAGAGACACACGGTTCGAATCCACCAGATGCTCTGCCAGGAAAAGGAGGGACAATCTTCTCCTGTACCAGTCAGATCTGATTTGACGGTACACTCACACAAAAATAAAAACAAACAAACAAACAAAAAAAAACCAGTAGACTGAAGGAGAACTACCAGAGAAGTTCAAGCTGAATTTAGAAGAGCTTGTGGCACTACAGATGTCACTGCTGATCTCAGATGGATCATGGCCAAAAGTAGAGAATAACAAAAGAATATCTATTTGGCAAACAACAAATGCTGGCAAGGTTGTGGACAAACTGGAACCCTTATTCACTGTTGGTGGGAGTGTAAAATAGTCCAACCACTATGGAAGGCAGTATGGTGCTTTCTCAAAAAGTTGCAAATGGAAATACCATTTGACCCAGCAATTCCACTACTGGGAATATATCCTAAAGAAACCAGAACTACCACCCAAGTAGATATATGCACACCCATGTTTATTGCTGCTTTGTTCACAATAGCACAGAGTTGTAAACAACCCAAATGCCCAAATGTTGTAAAAAACAAATGGACAGAGCAGCTGTGGTATATTCACACAATGGAATATTATGCTGCACTGAAAAACAAGGAACTCATAAATTATACAAAATGGGTGACCCTGGAGGACATTATGCTGAGTGAAATAGCTCAGTCACAAAAGGACAAATACTGCATTGTACCACTGTTGTAAAATGGGACTGACGTTGGTATTGGGGGGAACCTAAAAAGATGGGATAAATAATGTCTACTGCATTAAAACAGATGAGGGAGAGAACTTTTTGAAAGGAATATATGATTAGGTATTATTTTCTTAACAAATTCCAGAAAAAGAAATGCATAGTAAAGTGGACTATGGACTGGAGGGGTGGAGTGGGTGAGGAATTGTGTAACAATGAAATAATTTTTTTTTCTTTTCTTTTCAAAGAGAAAAGCCAACTGGGGGAGTGGGATGGTCAGGGAGGAAAATGTGCAACAATCAATAAATGAGAAAAAAAATTAAATGGGAAGAATATGCCGTTAAAAAATATCTATGAAATGAAAAATAAAATATAAAAAAAAATATCTATTTGTACTTCACTGACTATGCAAAAGCATCTGACTGTGTGGATCACAACAAATTGTGTTTAACACTGAGAAGAACAGTAATTTCAGATTTATGCTTATATGAAATATATACCTGGGATCAACAAGCTGTTGTCCAAACAGAGTAAGGGAACATTGCATGGTTTAAAAGTGGGGTGGGGGAAGTGTACATCACAGTTTCAGGTCTGTATCCTTTCTCTTTATCTAATCAACCTGTATGCTGAGGAAATAATTTAAGAAGCTTGACTTTATGAATTAGAATGTGGCATCAAGATTTAAGGAAGACTCATGAACAACCTGTGTTATGCAAATGACACAACTTTGCTAGCTGAAAGTGAGAAGGATTTGAAGTATTTGTTGCAAATGATCAAGGATACAGCTCTCAGTACGGACTGCATCTAAATACCAAGAAAATAAAAATCCTCATTACTAAGGCTAACAGGCAAACAATCATGAGAGATGAAGAAATTATTGAAGTGATCAAAGATTTAATCTTATTTGGATCCACAATCAACACCCTTGGTACCAGCAGTGAAGATACTAGGAGATCAATAGCACTGCAGAAGTCTGCAGTCAGGGACTTCTACTAAGGTGCAACAGCCTTTCCAATCAATGACCTGTATCTGAAAGCTGGAAAATGAAAAAAGATGACATAAAAATAATTGATGCCTTTGAGGTGTGGTGTTGGAGCAGAGTACTGAATATCCCATTGAATGCCAAAAGAACGTTGCCTTGGAGAAAGTGCAATCAGAATGTTCCTTAGAGATAAGGATGGAAAAGTTATGTCTCACACACTTTGGGCATGTTATCAGGAGAGGCTATTTCTTCGAAAGTGACAGCCCACAGCAAAAGACAGGAAGATTCTCAACAAGATGGACTATATATAGTGACTGTGGCAATGGGCTCAAGTGTGTCGGGGATGAGAAGGATGGCATAAAATAAGACGGTTCAGATCTGTTGTTTACAGGGTTGCAATGAGTTGTCCTTGACTTGACAATACCTAACAACAACAACAACAACAACAACTACTCAATATTTCACAATTCAGAGGTAGGGTCTGTATCTATGTTAACAAATACTACCTCTAGAATATCATTCCTTTACTCTCTCACATATTTTGGGCATGTTGTAAGGAGAGACTATTCCCTGGAAAGGGATATCATGTTTGGAAAAGTAGAGGGCCAGCAAGAGCGGGAGGTCTTCAAGATAGACTAGACATTGTCTGCAGTAATGGGCTGAAGTATGTTGGGATGATAACGATGGCACTGTGTAAGGTAAGTAAGTTTCAGATCTGTCGTTCATTGGGTTGCTATGAGTTGTATGCAACTCACTGGCACCTAACAACAACTCCTTCACCCTCTGAAGTTTTTACTCTAACAACAGTATAATCCCTATCTGGTGTCATTAGCATATACTTTCCCTCATTCATAGCCAATATCTAGAAAATATTTATCTTCCATCTCTACTTTCTTATTCCTATTTACATCTTACTCAAATTGAATCTACTTATCCTTCACAGAACTTAATAACAAGTGGTTCAAGTAATGACCTAGGTGCTTACTCATTTAATGTTTGTCTTATTTATTAGACTCCAATAACCTTCCAATGGGGCTTGTGTCCATTTTACCTACTGCTGTGATCAACTTTTTATCATAGGTTACTCCCACTGGAAATATATATAAAAATTTAAAAGGCTAAAAACTTAAGTTATCAGTAATCTATAACAAAAGAGGGAAGGAAAGGTATCATCATCCAGTTAAATTAAAATGGTTGTACCTAGTACAAGCTAGTCATAGTACAGAAGATTTATAATGTAACAATTTTCAGATCATCTCTGGCATGGAAAAAATAATAGAACTTACTCATTATCTCTTCTTTCTGAACCATCTCCTACATCAAAGACAAGGTAAGGCTGAAATGGCCAGTCTGATGAACATCGGTTGGTTTCAGTTTGTCTATAAAAAAGTCATCATTCAGAAGATAAGTCTAGTTATATTTTATAATAACTGTAATTGTTGTGAGGAAACGGGTTAGAGAAAGGAAGAAAAAAGTCTTTTTTTTTGTTCCAATGGATGTGTATCAGTCAAAAGTAAAAAATGGACTACTGTTTTAGTAGTAAGGATAGTAACTATCTAATAACCTTTATAATTGTGAGTGACAGAACTCATGGCCACCGAATCAATTCTGACTCAGCCATGCTAGACGACTAGCCCACAGAGTCTGATGTTATATGTAATTTTTATGGGAGCATCACATTTTCTGCCTCAGAGTAGAAAGTAGATTTGATCCCTTGACCCTCTGGTCACTTGCTGAGTACTTAATCACTGCACCACATGGACTAATAGTAAATATAAAACCCCAGAACACAATTGTTTTTTCAAATTTTTAAGATGAAACCAAAAATAAAAAGGGCTGTGCATCTGAAAAGAACCAGAAAGCATTTGTATTCTTGAAGTCAAGCGACTGTGAACTAAAAATTCTTTTTTTTTTTTTAATTTTATTGTTTTTGTGTGAGTGTACCATCAAATCAGATCTGACTGGTACAGGAGGAGATTGTCCCTCCTTCCCCGGCAGAGCATCTGGTGGATTTGAACCGTGCACCTCTGGGATTGTAGTTGCAGCTCCTTACCAGAGGCCACCAGAGCTCCCCGAACTAAAAATTCTTAAAAAGAAATAAATAAAGGCAATTTAGTGGTCAAAGCAATTTCTTCAATGCTATGATATGAGCGAGTCTAAAGAACTAGTTCTAATGGCAGAGTCCATAGGGCATTGTACTGTTAACTCAAAGGCCAGAGTCCTCTGCTAGTTTGAATTCACGGGAGAAAGATGGGCAATCTCCTCGCATGTGATTTAGACTCAGAAACCCAGTGGAGTCTCAATGAGTTGGTTCCAACTTCACAGTAAAGAGATAAGAGTGCACTGTAAATTAAGTATAATACATAATCTAGAGTCAATTTCAAATATATGAGAGGATGCTTAAAAAGTTATATGCAAATACCACTATAATTTTAGATGATTTCCATACACCTTTGGATTTATGTACAAGGGTACTGCAACAAATCACTCACAGATAATGGCTGCGTATCAAAATTTTATCTGTGAATTGTTCTCAGTCAAATTAACAATATCCCCCCCCTTTTTGTGTTTATTAGAATTTGGTACAATATATATGATTTTTATAACTAGAGAAATAATTTTAAATACTTATAAGATTTATGACTTTCATTACAAGACTTAAGAACCAAGTAAACTGATTACTATTCCCAAGCAGTTCCACTTACAAATAAAACAGCAGTTAACTGGAACCCACCGGTTTGTTTTCAAACTGTTGTTATACACATAATTAGAAGGGAACAGACATATGTCTGGATGCATCCTATACTGGACAGTGAGCTGTAATATAGGAAGCCTGCCGATCACGTTATGCTCTACATTTTCTTCCAGGAGTTTGTAGAAACGAGCCATCATTGACTGGTCATAGCCATACTCTTGAGCCTTCTGAGAGGGAGAAACAAAGCAAGTTTCCAAAGATAATTTTATACATTCCCATTATAAATACAGCTACTGAGCCTTAATAATTACATGGCAAGGTACAAAGGAGCTAAGATTATTAATAATCAAAGTTTCAGAGACTAAGAAGTCATATATAGCTAAGATTACCTTCTTTTTAGACATCTACATACTACTTACAGTAAGAAACATAATCTTGAATGATCACAACTTAATGTTATTTTGATGCTAACAGGTAAAAAAAATAAGAAGCAAAATACAATGTGAATGAAGAAATGTGTGAAACACAATGAACATGAAGTGTTCTTATGTAAATAAGTCTTTTAAAGAACAATGATTCTTCAGTAAATACTAAGTACCCAGAATCTGTACTGAAATTGTTACACTGTATCCAGTAGTCAAAATTAACAGTTTACTTGCTAAAGTGATTTTACAACCCTAATTATGGGTAAGGGAGCTCTGGATGCCTAGGGTTAAGGAGTAGTTCTGTTAAACCAAAGGCAAGGCAGTTTGAATCCACTAGTTGCTTTTCTTGAAGAGAAAGATGGGCAATCTCTTTCTGAATGATTTACAGCTCCTAAAAACCAACTCAAAGATTAGCTATGAGTTGGTTGGATTCAATGGCAATGAGTGACTGAGATGCAAATACTGGATAAAAACTCATTTTGCAAAATGATGAACTAAAGAAAAATTTAAAGTATCTCAGTAACCTCTGCAATCTGGATCCAAACTTACGCTTCTGTGCCTCAACTTTCAGCTAAATAATAGAAAGGCCTATAAGGTGTTCACTAATACTAGGGAGGCACCTGCTCCTTAGACAAACTAAGTACATAAGACCTTAAGAACAATCTACAACCAGGGGAGGATAAAATAGATCAATGGGACCTTATAAGAATCAAATCTTTATGCACATCTAAAAACTTCTCCATCAGGGTAAAAAGGGAAGCCACAGACTGGGAAAAAGTATTTGGTAATAACATGGTAATGAGGAGACGTGTGGCATCAGGATTGGTGGAAGATCTATTAACAATCTGCGTTATGCAGATGACACAACCCTGCTTGCTGAAACGGAGGAGGACCTGATGCACTTGCTGCAGAGGGTCAAGGACTGCAGCCTTCAGTATGAATTGAGGCTCAATGTCAAGAACACAAAGATTCTTACCACTGGACTAATTGGATGGTGAAGAGATTGAGATTGTTAACTAGTTTGCTTGGCTCCACGGTCAGCACTCTTGGCACCAGCAGCCAGGAAATCATAAAATCTACTGCGATGGGAAAGTCTGCTGTTAGGGACCTCTCCAGGGTACTGAAGAGCAATGGTGTCACTCTGGAGACTAAGGTTTGTCTGACACAGGCTATGGTCTTTGCAATCACTTGTTATGCATCAGAAAGTTGGACAATGAATAGGGAGGACTGAAGGAGAATTGATGCCTTTGAGCTGTGGTGCTGGGGAAGAGTATTGAATGTACCATGGACTGCCAAGAAAACAAACAGATTCATCCTGCAGAGGGTTAAACCAGGCTGCTCCTTGGAGGCAAGGATTGTGGGGCTTTGTCTGACATACTCTGGACATGTTGTAAGGAGGGACAGGTCCTTGGAGAGGGAAATCATGCTTGGGAGAGTGGAGGGACGGTGTGGAGGGGAAGACCCTCTATTAGGTGGATTGATTCAATGACTGGGATAATCGGGATGCGTGTGTCAGAGACAGTGCGACTGGCACAGGATAGAACAGGGTCTAGGGCTGTTGTACATAGGGTCACTATGAGTCGCAAACGACTCGACAGCACATAACAACAACAATGACATGCCAGACAAGGAACTCATATCTAGAATTAATAAAATTCTTGAGCACCACAACAAGATAAAGGTAAATAATCCAATTGAAAAATGGGCACAGGATAGGAGCAAACACTGCACCAAAGAAGACATTCAGATGGCAAACAAACACATGAAGAAATGTTCAAAATTCTTGATGCAAATCAAAATAACGATGAGTTATCATCTCACTCCAGACAGAATAGCAAAATTTAACAGAACAGCAAGCAACAAACAAATGCTGGCAAGGTTGTGGAGAAACTGGAACACTTATTCACTGTTGGTGGGAGTGTAAAATGATACAACCACTATGGAAGGCTGTATGGCACTTTCTCAAAAAGTTGGAAATAGAAATACCATTTGACCCAGCAATTCCACTACTGGGAAATATATTTTTAGGGCATTATGATTATCATAAGAGTTCGGAATGAGGGTTGCAGAGTGGAGTATACTCAGGGTAGGGATGGGGGTGTGGGGGGGTTGTATACCAATGAATGAGTTTTTTCTTTTGCTTTTCAAGGAGAAGAGAGAACTGGGGGTGGGGGTGGGGTGGGTGGGGAGAAAAGTGCAACAATGAATAAATGGAAATCCAAAATCTCTGTACATGTTCATTGATAGTAACCAGAACTGCCACCCAAACAGATATATGCACACGCATGTTTATTGCAGCTTTGTTCGCAATAGCAAAGAGCTGCAAAAAACCCAAGTGCCCATCAACAAACGAATGGAGATGCTCTGGTATATTCACATAATGGAATATTATTCAGCACTGAAAAACAAGAAACTCATGAACTATTATTCAAAATGGGTAACCCTGGAGGACATTATGCTGAGTGAAATATCTCAGTCACAAAAGGACAAATATTGCATAGGGCCACTGTTGTAAAACGGGACTGACATCAGGGTTGAGGGAAGACAGAAAAGGAGGGCAGGAATGATGTATACTGCATTGAAACAGATGAGGGAGAGAACCATTTAAAAGGGACATATGAATGGCTACTGTCATTGAATGGTGGAGTGGACTTGTTGGGGAGGGAATGAATAACAATGAAAGAGTTTTTCTTTTCAAGGAGAAGAGTGAATTCGGGGGGAAGGAGTGGGGAGGGAAAAAAGTGCAACAATGAATGACTGGAAACTCTAAGTCACTGCAAACTTTCATTAAAATTCATTTAAAAAAAAATCGTAAGAACAGCACTTGCCCAAGAATAAAAGCAGTGACAACTGAAATGAAAGACTAAAGGAAAAAGCATGATTAAATTAACAGTATTGTAATTAATGTTGTAATACAGAATGTGTATGAATGACTGTATGAAAATTAATCAGCTTTATAAACTTTAACCCAGACCGCAAACAATCAAAAAACCCCAAAAAACCTGTCTGAATGTTCTATAACTGCAACTCGGGATATAATTTTTCAATGATAACATTCAAAATGTACTGGGGGAAAAATATTGTATCTTAAATAATCTAAAATGAAACATATCTAATTGCACTAAAAGTATTAAATGAGTAATTCAGAAGACAATGGTGTAAAAGACTATCTGCTGAGGGGGTGAAGGAAATGAGAAGGACCTTGTGAAAAACAATGTATTCAAACTTTGTAAATAAATCAGTATTTAAAAAAACCACCCCAAAACACAGACTGTATAGGCTTATTTCACAACTTTGAGAATATGAAAAAAAAGTATTAGTTCTTGACAAATATACATATAAAAATTATATTAAATAATACATGTAAATGAAACAGCATAAAGATCAGTAGACAACTGGCCAATTAAATGTCAAACAGTTTATTTATTCAAGTTAGCTAAAACTATATAGCTCTGAATACTCTCACCGGGATGAAAAGGAATTAAACAAACTAACATATCTAATTCCAGGAATTAGTGTCTGAAAATTCTCTCAATACAGATCTTCTTTTGCATTATTAATTTTAATGGATTTTCCCTTTTATTAATCACAAAACTAACAACGTTGAGGCCTACTATCAACCTCTTTTTTCTACAAGCTGAGGCTCTCTTCCAAAAAGTTAAATGATTGAGTTTTGTTTTTTTTTAATAAAAGAAAATTTAATGAACAGAATATAAATATTACAACTAGCATCTTTTTTAAAAAATTAATTAATTTCAATAAACAGAGATTTCAGATTTCCATTCATTCATTGCTGCACTTTTCTCCCCGCCCACCCTCCTCCCCCAATCCCAGTTCGCTCTTCTCCTTGAAAAGCAAAAGTAAAACTCCTTCGTTGTTATGAGAAGTATTCATGTTTCATCACTCTCCATTAGTGACATCAATGTTTTCTAATAGAGGTAGGTTTCCCCTCAGAGACAGACTGTGTTTGTTTCAGGGCTAATATGTACTCAAATGTCACATAAACAACTATGATTTTGAATATTATAACAAATATAAATTTTAACAAACAAAAAAGATTCTAAAACATGAGAGATTACCCGAGACTGTTTCTTAACTATGTCTCTATATTTGCTCAGATAACGAAAAATCTATCAGCAAAAAACGAAAAATGTTATTAAATTTCAAACCATTATTTACGTTTATTCAAATAACTCAAACATCTACTGAATTTTGAGTCTAGTGTATACTTCTGCAAACTAGCTTTAGTGGATTCAAGTATATAAAAAACTAAGTGGAACAGATCACAGTGTAACTAGTGCTTTTTTCTTCAGAGTTCAAAATGAAGTCTTTCTTTTCATGTCACCTTTGGCTTTAGAACATGTGAAAACAGAAGCCAATTTCTTAATGACTAAATTTTACTTATCTTATTGTCTAAAACACTGTTAAAATTGGAAATACACTCCCCCAAAATTTATACTGTACCTTTTCTTCCTTTCAAGATTATTTCTTTATTGACTGCTCACATTTTTGTGTTATTTTAATAAATCAGGTATGGTTCTTTAAAATATATGGACAGCATTTTTTCCCCAAGGAAAAGCCAGGGCCTCAGGTCTTCTGCTCTCCCACAGTTAACACTGCTCTTGTCTTATATAACCACAACTAATAAATAAGTATACTTTCAGAGATACTACTTTACTACTACAATTCAAACAATTTTCTATCTCAAATATTCCTTCATTTTCCTTCTAATAAAAACTGGTAACTCAAAAGAAAAAAAAACAAAGCAAAACACGTTGATAACCCAAGAATAATGATTACTCTTACCCTAGAACAAAAAGCTTTCCATTTTAAGATGAAACTTACCATAGAAATGACTGTGGGAGGCAACTGTTTGGGATCTCCTACAAGGATAAGCTTATTGCAACGATGGATAAGTGGAGTAAGAGTCTCAACTTCACAAGACTGTCCAGCCTTGGTAAGAAAGCAGGTAAAAGAGAAATACTCTTAATTATCTTGACTGTTGGCATACCCACATAATTTATCTAATTCATAAAACTTTTAACTATTCATAAAAATATCACATTTCTGCACCAAATATCAAAGTAAGAATTTTCATTGGTTAGATAACAAAAATAAGACAAAACAAGAATACTTCTACAAGGTACAAGTGAAAAAACAAAATATATTTTGAAGACAGCCACTACTTGGTTAGAGCTATTAATTGAGGACCAGTCACAAGTTAGAAGGCTTTATATACCTAAGATTTATGTTCTCCAATCTGCTGGGAAAGAGCCTGATGATATTTCCCCCTCCCTAAAAACAGTTAAAAATTTACATCTGATTTTCCTGTGCAGGCAACCGAAATGTCCTAAAGACTATGGAAGACCTGGAAAGGCAGCATTGGTAAGCACTGCAAACACCCTGGAGGCTGAGGTAACGCTGGTGGCTTGCATCAGCAAAGGATCAACTTTGGCAAATACCATTCAGGTTATTTTGGAAAGGCTGGTATGAGATTACCTGAAGAGGAAGCAGAGCTTCTGCCCAACTGTCAACCTTGACAAATTAAGGACCTTAATCAGTGGGCAGACAAGGGTAAATACTGCCAAAAACAAGACTGGAGCTGCTCTAATCACTGATGCGGTTCAATCAGGCTACTACAAAGTTTTAGGAAAGGGAAATCTTATAAAGCAACCAGTCACTGTGAAAGTGGAAGTTTTCAGCAGGAGAGCTGAGAAGAAGATAAAGTGTGTTGGAGGGGTGGCCTGTGTTTGGGTAGCTTGACGCTGTGTTAATTGAAATTCTTTTCTCTTAAAAAAATTGTACTTTAAGAACAGAAATCGTATTAGGTGTGTGTATAAATTCTCCATTTATAAATCATGTTAAATCATACAAATCCTGTGAAATCATCTCCCCGTTCATCAGTAGCCCTCTTCAAACATAAAATTTAAGTTTTTCTTCAACTAAATGACATTTCCTTTGATTATTTCATCAATTTCATTGTTATTGTTCTTTCAATCTATAGGACACATAAGGATTTAGATCTCCTGGATTGATTTGACAAATATTTTCCATTTCCTGTCTTCCAGCTACATCTGGGTAAATAACAGGTACCCATTATTCATTTCTTCAACAAAATAAAGGATGTGAAATGGAAGTAGTGTGGTTCAGAGCTATAGAAAATTATATAAAAACTGTTTTAAAATGTAGAAAATGGCTTATTAAGGGAGATCTTCCCCAAAACAACTATGAGATATCATCTCACCCCAGTCAGAATAGCAAAATTTAACAGAACAGCAAGCAACAAATGCTGGTGAGGCTGTGGAGAAACTGGAACCCTTATTCACTGTTAGTGGGAGTATAAAATGGCACAACCACTATGGAAGGTGGTATGGCGCTTTCTCAAAAAGTTCTAAATAGAAATACCATTTGACCCAGCAATTCCACTTCTGGGGATATGCCCTAAAGAAACCAGAACTGCCACCCAAGTAGACATATGCACACCCATGTTTATTGTGGCTTTGTTCACACTAGCAAAGAGTTGGAAACTGCCCAAGTGCCCATCAACAAATGATATGAACAAAATGGACTATTATGCAGCACTGAAAAACAACTCATAAAATATTATACAAAATGGGTGACCATGGAGGACATTATCTCAGTCACAAAAAGACAAATACTGTATACTGTCACTACTACAGAACAGGACTTGTATGGGAGTTGGGGAAAACTAAGAAAAGAGGGAATAAATAATGTACATGGCATTGAAACAGACAAGGGAGAAAACTGTATAAAAGGAACATATGATTAGGTATTATTGGCATGACAAGAGAGTCCAGAATAAGAGTTACATAATAAAGTGGTAGCGGTAGCACTGTATAACAATGAAAAAAACTTTTTTTCCAAAGAAAAAATAGGATTGGGTGGGAGGGGGACAGGGAGAAAAATGTGTAACAATGAATGAATGGAAATCCAAGTTCTTTATAAATTTACAATAAAAAAAAGGGAGATTTCTCAATAGTCCAGATAATCCCTTGGCAGGGATTTTATTAGGAGCAATCAAGGATTTTTAAGGTTCTAAACTGGTGAAATAATTTTAAACTAATGAGTTATCAGTAGCACATTTCAACCTGAGAGATAATCATGGTAATGGCATATATATATCAAATGCAGAAAGACCATTTTATCAATATCTCAACCATCACAATTTCTCTCCTCACAGTATTCATCAAACTTGTATGGCTGACAGATCACTGACCTCATCAACAATAACACAACTGAAGGGGACACCTCCTTGTCCACGAAAAGCAGACTCAAGGATTAAACCACCACTTGTGCTCAAAGTGCAGCAGATGACATGGGACTCCAAGATTATGATACTCTGTGTTTTTTGTGGGCGTCCTTGAACCTAAAGAAAAAATACAAGTAAATCATTATTCTTACTATGATATATTTATCTTTACTAGAACCATCTAGATTTATTTTGTAAGAATACTTAGTAACATGGGAAAACATCAAACCTAAAAAACCAGCAGAAATCACCATAGAGAACACTGTGAATAGAAGTCTAAGCTTAGAACATAGTTTAAAAAATATTTTTTTAACAACCACCACCACAGTCCCTGGAGAGGGACATATGGATACTTAAGTAAAGGGTTAACACAAAGGAGATCTTCAACTGCATGGTCTTAATTGCGTTTACAAGAATGAGTTAAACATAGTAGCAGTTGTGAGGATGAAACAAGACTGGGCAGTGTTTTCTTCTGTTATACATAGGGTCATTGTAAATTAGAAAGGGAGGGAAATCACCTGAGGCTAATGCAGTTATAAACTTGTGTGTATGTAAAACAAGTGCAAATCACCTCACTGGAAAGAAGCAGCATAGTTATTTAGCATTACCTATCTTTCCACTGTGATTTGATTTTTTTTTAATTTTTTTTTTAGTCAAAGGTGTGAGGGTGGGGTTTAGTGGTTTCAGAAGGAGTCCATTCTTTCAAGCAGAAGTCCATACAATCTTGATGAAAATTCTTTATATGTCTCTTCTTTTTTTCTGGACCAAATACACTTAATTTCCTCATGTTCTTCCGTTGATACGTTGTTGATTCATTTACCATTTTGGTTGTCCTACTATAAACACTATACAGTATGTATAATTAAACATCCATGTATGGTTTTATTCCACAAAATAAAACATTAATTTCCAGAGGAAAAAGAAATTAAGAAAAAATTACTTGAGGATTGATTTGGTTAAAATAGACACTAATTCTTACAGCTTGATACATTTGTTGTTAGATGCCATTAAGTACAACTCACAGTGGCCCTAAGAACAATAGTTTTGAACTTTGTCATGCCATCTTCACAATTTCTGATACTCGAGCCCACTGCAGCATGACTCTGTCAATCCACCGAGTTGATGGTCTTCTCTTTCACTGACCCTCCACCTTTCCAAAAATGTCTTTCTCCAAGCAACAGCCTCTCTTAGTAACATGCCCAAAATATGTGAGATGAAGCTTTATCCTGAGCTATCCTTATGATCTCTGACACATTTAAGTCCACTGTTAGTCACCGTGTCAATGTATATCCCCTACACCTGTTCAAACACCTGAATGGTGACAAATAAAGCCAGTGGTTACTTACACCAGGAAGTCATTGGGTCTTGATTGAGAAAGTAGAGGAAGTTAATTCTGGGGCTTTACAGACACTATTCATACTCTATTCATATTCATATCATCAACACAGTTGATGAAGGTATAAAATTTTAAAATTCCATCAAGTCTTTCAGTTAAGTTGTCTCAATTTCACATATATTAAAAAATATAGAAACAATAAGAAAGATAAAGATGAGTGCTGCAAATGCATGGAGATAAGTAAATTTGACTTTTTTTTAAAAAAAAAAATATTGTTCAGGGCCTTTCTCTGACTCTCCACCCTTCCCAGCATAATGTCTTTTTCTAAGTACTCTGCAGTTGTAAGAAGGGAATACCGCACACCTAATAAGGTTTTTATATCATTTACTCAGAGTTAAAATAAGAAAAATAGAATTTATATTTTTTAAAATAATTTTTTGCATGAAAGTTTATAAATCCTATCTGGTTTAAAAATTTATGTGTTTGAAATTATTCATAATAAATTTTTTTTAAATATAACAAAAAAGAACATGTTGTTGTTATGTGCCATCAAGTCGCTTGCGCTTCATAACAACAGCCCTAAATTCTGCTCTGTCCTGTGCCAATCGCACCATCTCCGATACACCCATCCCGATTAACCCAGTCACTGAATCAATCCACCTCCCAGAGGGCCTTTCTCTCCTGTGCTGTCCCTCCACCCTACCAAGCATGATGTCCCTCTCCAAAGACCAGTCCCTCCTTACAACATGTCCAAAGTATGTTAGATGGAGGCTCAGAATCCTTGTCTCTGGGGAGTCGCCTAGTTTAACCCTCTCCAGGATGAATCTGTTTGTCTTCCTAGCAGTCCCTCCTACTCTCAATACTCTTCTCCAGCACCACAGCTCAAAGGCATCAATTCTCCTGCTATCCTCCTTAGTCACTGTCCAACTCTCTGATGCATAACAAGTGATTGCAAAGACCATGCCCTGTATCAGACACAACTTAGTCTCCAGAGAAACACCATTGCTCTTCAGTACTTTGGAGAGGTCCCTTACAGCAGACTTTCTCACTGTAATACGTCTTTTAATTTCCTGGCTGCTGTTGCCAAGAGTGTTGACTGTAGAGCCAAGCAAACTAAAGCTGTTAACAATCTCAATCTCTTCACCATCCATCCTGACGCTGCCAATTGGTCCAGTGGTGAGAATCTTTGTCTTCTTGACAATGAGCCTCAAACCATATTGGAGGCTGCAGTCCTTGACACTCTGCAGCAAGCACTTCAGGTCCTCCTCTGTTTCAGCGAGCAGGGTTGTGTCATCTGCATTAACGGAGATTGTTGATAGATCTTCCACCAATCCTGATGCCACAATTCTCCTCATAGAGCCCAGCCTCCTGGATAATCTGTTCTGCATATAGGTTAAAAAGGTATGGAGACAGGACGCATCCCTGGCGTACACCCTTCCCAATTTTGAACCATGCAGTGTTTCCTTGCTCTGTTCTGACGACTGCCTCTTGGTCCAAGTATAGGTTTCGCATTAGCACGATCAAGTGTTCTGGGAGTCCCATTCTTCTCAGAGTCAGCCACAGTTTGTTATGATCTACACAGTCAAACGCCTTTGCATAATTAATGAAACAAAGATGGACAATCCTCTGGTATTCCCTGCTTTCAGCTAAGATCCATCTAATATTAGCTACAATATCCCTAGTACTGTGATCCCTTCTAAACCCAGCCTGGACTTCTGGCAGTTCTCTGCTGATGTGCTGTTCCAGTCGTTTTTGGACAATCTTCAGTAGGTTGTCAAAATAATTTCATAATTTAAAAAGATATCTATCAAGAAAATGCTACAGAAAATTACTTTAGATGAACTACTTACTTACCTCTTTTATTCTAGAAGCAAGTTCCTGCCTTTCTTTTGACACTTTTGCGATATTTTCATCTAATTCTTGTCTCTGGAAAAAATTAGAAATATCATTAGGTAACATGCCCACAGTTCAAGTGAGCAAGTCTACAATTTTAAATAATTAAAAAAGCTTATTATTGGGAAGGAACGGGAAAGTTTCAATAGAGATTTGAAAAGATGGTAATAATAAGCATGGATATATATATGTGAATGTATAAAACACAATATACATGAAAGAAACACATGTAAATTATTGTAAAAAACACAAAGTATATGTACAAAACACAATATACAGTAATGAATGTATGCAAATCAATAAAAAAAATCTAAAAAGCTTATTTTAAACACATCTTGTTTCTTCTTTTCAGTGAAATTCTGTATTGTGATAACGTGGATAAGTTAGATCCAATGAATTGCTTAGATGCAACTTCTGTTTGCTTAGCATCCCAAACCTTGGGATAGCCCTTCACTAGCTTCAGAAGAGGTTGTCAACTGTACTTCAACCTTTCCTCTAGCCATAGGAGAGGGCATTTAATAATGGAGGTCACAGAAATCATGGTATTTATGCCCTAAAAAAACAGAGACTGGGCCTAACTGGAACAGATGTCATGATGTGAGAAAAGAAACAGTCTCTTTTGGGTTTGTGCAGTGGGATGATGGAACCTAGAAATGCAAAAACTTAACTTTCCTTGGAGAAGAAATATCTAACCCACAGAAAACTAGTTGAGCGGTAAAGAAATGACATCATTTGATCTTCTAAATCCACTCAGGTTATTCCTCCCTTTCATACACGTGAAATGGAGGGTGGTACCTGTTTTCAAAGTACACTCTCTAACAAGGACAGTAAAGTTCACAAGACATTTTCTCCCATTTAAATGCATACTGTAAAACAGTTTTACATGTCATTGCCAATAAACGTTTATGTATCTGAGTTATTATTTAAATAATAATATTCTTGAGAAACATGCTGTTAGGTGCTTTTGAGTCAACAGACTAGAATGCATAGAACAGTGGATCTGAACCTTGCCCTATCCTGTGCTGTCCTCATCACTGCTGATATACTTGAGTCCATTGTTACAGTCACTGTGTCAATACATTTTATTGAGGATCTTCCTTTCTTTCACTATCTTCCATCTTTCCAGACATAATATCCTTCATCAAGGACTGGCCCCTCTTAACATTATGTCTAAAATATGTGAGACAAAGGTTCACTATGTTTTCCTCCAAGACATATCGGCTTATTCTTTAATAATCCATTGGCTATTCCATACTCTTCTCCAACACAACTCAAGCATATACCTGTCTTTCTCTTCCATGTCGGCACAAAGCACGCTGGCGAGAAAGTTCATCAAGCTGACGATCTAGATATTCTTTCCTTTTATGCATCTCCTGAACATGAAAAGGTAAGTCTTTTTCTTTTGGGGAGGAAAAAAACCAGAAAAAGTTACATGCTAATTTTAACACACTCCAAATACAATGAAAAGAAAATGACTTCACAAAGCAAAACTATCTATAAACCCAACCAAACCCACTACTATAATGTTGATTACAACTTATAACAACCTCCCACTGAATTTCTAAGGCTCTAAAAATCTTTAAGGGAGGAGACTGCTTATCTATCCAGGGTGTTAGATGGATTCAAACTGCTGAGCTTTCAGGTCAAAGCCAAATATATTATAAAGTAGGGTGTCCAAATTATGTTCAATGTCATGTCTACCTTAAGAAAGTTAAGAGATACTGCTAGTGTGTACAGTATTCATTACTTACTCATTCTGTGGTTAACTTGGCTGTCCAAACTGAATTTTAGGACTTCATTATTAATTGACTTTTCTGGCCCCAGTCGTACTAAATTTATATCTCCACAGTTTCCTATTGATAAGATTACACATAAGGATTAATAAGGATTCCATAAATTCTGTCTCTCTCTATAGCATCTTCCTCTCATAAATCTACCAACACTGCAATTTAAGTACCACAAGAACAAGGTTGTATTTGGGTCACTGCCTGGAACAATACCTAGCATATAATAAGTACAACAAACAATATGAACAAAAGAATGCAGATTTATATAGGCATCTAACTATAGCACAACTAAGAACTAACTACCCAGCTCATTCTTTTAAGTCCCAATAAATCTTCTTAGTCAACAATTGAGGATTTTTTTTAATTTGAGGATTTTTAAACTAAATAATGTGTTTCTCCCAAAAGCTAAGATTACCTAAAAACCTTTCTAACTATAAGCACCTACAAATGTTCCACAAATTATAAAAGGCACTTAAAAAACTGAGTTGCTAAAACACTTCAGAGAAATTTTTAAGAGCGAAAAACAGGGAAAGAGAAAAGTCAAAACAGAAGTATGTGAGCTGAGCTCTGGCCTCTCTGCAGGGACAGAGTATAAAGAGAGGAGTCATCACAGAGAGGCTTAGCTGCTTTGTTTTGCTTTTTAAAAAAGTTGATTACAGTGTAATTTATATGAGAAGATGCTCTTTTAAGCCTTTAGTTGTAGGTATGACAAATGTATCAGCAAATCAATTCTTCCAATCAAGTTACAGACATCTCCATAATAAAGGATCAGCTTTTAATTCCTAGCAGAAGAAAAAGGAACCTGAAAAGAGTATGAAAATTTAAAAACTCTCAGCTGAGGAAAACAAATTTATTTATTTTTTTCCCTTTGGGATTTTCCACTTTAGGCGATTGGCATACATGGAGTTAGAGCACAAAAACATAATCAGAAAGTAAAAAGGCAACTCAACCATAAATACAGTTGCAATTTTAAAAATGAGTATAATGAACAGCTTTAAGATCAAACAGGAATTCTCCTTGAAAGATAGGCATTAGCAAAAGTCACATGAAAAAGACAAAAACAGAACAGATTTGTTAACTACTAAGGAAATTTAAAATAGTAGGTAAAGACAGAAGAACTGTTACCAATTCTACATAAATTATTTCAGAAAATAGAAGAAGATGGAACCCTCCCAGATTCATTCTATGAAGCAAACATATCTTTG